GCCGAGGCTCTGTGCTCTGCCGGTATGGCGGCACTGACTTGGGTGTCCCCCGCTTCTGCAGGCACCCCCCAAGGGCTCTCTCTCCTCTCAGGAGGGACGGGGCTGGCCAAGAGGTGGCCCGGGGGTTCCGAGTCACTGCCCCCACGGACGTGGTTCAGTGGCCACTGCCCCCCTGGCTCCAGCCAGCCGCGGCAGCTGCTTTGGGCTCTGGTCACGCAGGGACTCTTCCAGTCCCAGAAAAACAAACTACTCACACAAAGGCCTCTGTGTAGGTAGCAGACTTTACTGAAGATTTGGGGGGACCAGGGGGTTACATAGCAAAAATACAAAAACTTAAAGTTGAATATTAGACATCCACAAGCTTAAAAATAAAAAGACATTACCATTCCGGCCGACTGGGCTCCAGACGCATACCGCAGCACTGGAGCACCTCCCCCGTCCTCTCCCAGGAAGTAAACAGAGCCCAATCGCAGACGGCCTCTTCCTCAGGGGGGCCTGGCCCACCATTGGTTCCGTGCTCCCTGTCGAGACCCTTCCCTGGGGCCTCTTCCCCCTCACGTGCCACAGACTGATTTCCTCAGGTAAGAACACTCCCCCATTTCTGAGACCCAAGGATAAAAGTCTATGCGCGGTCTCTGTGCTGGACAGTTCCCATGACCCTGAGAGCCAGGCCACCTCGTGGGCCCGGGCTGACAGAGCAGAGCTTGGGCGTTTTCTGTGAACGTGTGTGCGCATGCGTGTGCATGTGGGTGTGTGCGTGTGTGTGTGTGTGTGTGCGCGCGCGTTCGGGGTGGAAAGAGCAGAATCAGGGCAGGTCCTAACACACCTAAGGCACCACCGCTCCCTGGGTGCCCACCGTGAGCGCGGGCTGTCACCTCTGTCCAGCAGCAGCCCCGAATCAAAGCCATGTGAGTCCCATCTCACAAGGGGCTACGAGGGTCTGGGAGCGGGGGCTAACTGCTCGAGGTTGCGGAATGCGGCTGCAGCCACTCCGGCTTCTTGAGAACAACACCCCTCTCGATTTAAGTCTTCGGGGCAGAGCTTCTTGTTTTCACTTCTGGAGCTGACACACCAGGTAACAGAAGAGGGGCTGGGACATGGCAACTGCGGACTACCCCCGCCCCCGAGCTAAAACCCGTTGCCGCTCTCACACCCCTCTCCGTGCGGGTCCGGCCCAGGGAGTGCTGCACACCCCACAGAGCCCCGCACCAGGCCCGGCGCCGCAGGCCAACAAGAGCCGCCTGCCTCCTACCTCCAGCCCCGTCAGCGTGCCCTGCCCACTGTCCCCCAAAGCCCAGAGCTGGGGAGAGGATGCAGGTATCACAGTCTGAGTGCCCAAGCCACGGCCGCCCCCAATCCTTCCTCCACTAGCTTTAGTCCTAAGGGGCAGAGTGGGTGTCTACACACGCACCCATGCACGCACACGCATCCTAAGCCCTTCTGTGGGGGCACTCACCCCACTCCACGGAAGTCCACTGGTGGCCACTGAGGCAGTGTGCTCGGTCACCGTCAGACCAGAGGTCTGTTTCCATGTCCCCAGCCCAGCCAGGCACCCGGCCGGGTCAGGAGGGCCAAGGGCTCCACCCTCGAGGGCTCAGGGCCCTTTACCTGCCGGGGCGCAAACAACAGGAATCGCACTGCCTGGTACACGAGCCCTCCTTTGGCGGATGTTTACTGAGCACCTGCTGTGTCCCAGACCTGGTGTTTGGTTTACAGAAAGTAACAGACGGAGGAAGCTACAGTCTCCACCCACAGACAGAGTCTGGGAGGAAAGACAGACTCAGGAGCAGACAATTACACATGCTTCTCTGTGGGCCCCACTAGCCCCAGCGTCGGTTTCTTAAAAAAATTGAAGATTAAAGATCAAAAAGACTTACTCCCTTGCTTCAAACACTTCCAGGACCTCCCTTCGCATGGAATAAAATCCAAAGTCCTTGCCAAGCTAGGGGGTGGTGGGCTGGGGGAGGGAGCTGGCTTGCAATCCCCTTCCCCCTCACCCCCAGGGTCTGGAAGGCTGGCCCAGGGCCTGATCTAGCTCGTCCGTCGCCCCTGTAGCTTAGCCCATAACAACTCTCTTTCTGCACCTGCCCCACACCATGCCTCCCTGCCTCTCCTCACAATGCCTTCCCCCGACCTTCCCCAGGCTGCAAGGCTTCCCCAGGGACTCTCACGTCAGCACCCTTCTCTGCCTTGAAAGCATGTGTCAGTCTATACGTCCCATTACTTGCTCACTTGGTTTTCTTCCTCAGTGGACCCTGTCTGCCTGGGTCAGTGATCCCAGCGCCCGGCATGGAGCAGAAGCAAACAGCTGCTAACTGAGTGAACACGAGAACACTCCAGGGAAGTGAGGTCACGGCTCTGAGCCCCGCTTCCTGCATATGTCACATGGGGATGGCCCAGCGCCCCTGACTGAGGATGAGAAGGGATGATAGTAGTCCCTGTGTTCTGGGTCAGAAACAGAAGGCTTCTGCCACACAAGGGCAGGTGTGACTCACCCTTCCGCTTGAAAGGGGGTGACCACGTGCCGGCCCCTGAAGTATGAGTAGGAGTTCTCCAGGAGGAGGAAAGGCCAGGGCACAACTGGCCAGGGGAAGCTGCGGGGCCAAGGCCTAAAGGCAGGGAAGGACGCCTGATTCAGAGGGCGCAGGGGAGTGCCAGACAAGCCTGGGAGAGTGGTGGGCCAGGTCAGGGCTCCCACTGGCCCCCAGGGCCACAGGCCACACTGTACCCGGGGAGAGGTGTCTACACCTGCATTCCCCATGGCTGACAGGTCTGGAACCTACAGCTCTAAGGACGTGACTTTCCACGAGGCAACTGAGGTCAACTCCTAAAGAGAAGGGAGCATGCCCAGCTCACACCTGGCCTGGGCATCTGCCCTGCCTCGCTGTCACCGTGATCCAAAGGCTCATCTCCCGAACCCCTGCATGTGTGCCGCAGCCGAGAGGCTGCTCACGCATCCTTGTGAGCAGCTGCCTGAAGGTCCAGTCAAGCCAGAAGGGGAGGCATCATGAGTTCTCCTTACCCAAAGAGCCCGAGGGGAAAGGCACAGAGAGAGGGTGAGGGTTGTGACAGTGACCAGGAAGGGGCGGGAGAGCCTCACACAAACCCCCCATGGACATGTGAGCACATGCTGTCTGCTCGGGGCCTCCTGGACCCCATACCCCACCCCAACCACAGCACGTCTTTTGATGAGAGCCGACCCCCACATACAGTGGAGTCGCGGAACTTGGCACGAGGTCTAGCAGCAGTCCAGAGGCGTTTGGTTAAAGTTGTTTTCTGGGGAGAAGAGGCAGCCCCTGCCTGTGAGGGCAGGACACCGGACAGCTGGCTTCCTTTCCCCATCTGGAATGCTGGCCAGCCTTCGTAACATCTGCTTATCTAAGCACTGCCCATCCTCTAAGGGGCAGCCCCTCTCCACCGCAGCCTCTTCCCTGGGTCTCCCACTCCCTGCTCTCTCGCAACTCTGAACTCCAGCTTCTGTGAGGCACAGCCAGCCCTGCTTAGGAGCTCTCCAGTCTGACTCTTCAGACCGTGAGCTCCGGCTATTAATAATAATGTATATTTCTCGAACACATTTATGTGCTCGGCACATTCTAGGCACTCTACGTATCCGAGGTAGGTACTCTTACAATACCCATTTTACAGATGGGGAAACTGAGGCACAGTGAAATTAAGTAACTTGCCCCAAAGCCACGGAGCTACTCAGTGGCTTAGTGCCAGGATTTCGATCCTAGCTGTCTGACTCAAGCCCTCGATCCTAACCACCATTCCGTGACACCTCCTAGATGCTGTCTTACTCGCTTCCGTACTCCCGTAATAGCTCCCGGAGTGCTGGGCACAAAGTAAACACCTGCCATTCGAACCTCTGCTCCCTTCTGCTCCAGGCTTCTGGAATTGTGGTTCCCATGAAGGGTGATAAGCGGGCCACTAGATGGCAGCAAAGAGCCAGACCCAGGCCTCTCTAAGGGAGGGGAGGATAAAATAGTTACATTCATTTAGCGCATCTTGCACCAGGCACTTGCAGATGTCAGCTCTCCTTCTCACTAAGGCCTTCTAAGGTCGGTGCTATTGCCCTATTGCCCTTCCCTTTATGGAGAGCAAAGGACCCCAAGGCTCAGACAGGTGGAGAAATTGGCCCAAGGTCAGACAGCCAGGAATACCGGGACTGAAGCCAGGACCACCAAAACCCTAAGCCTGTACAGTTCTCCAAAGAGAGAAACCAGGGAAACCTTCACTGGTTCCCTTGAGGCCCAGGGTGGGCTCCACAGCCCTCCTCCACCCACAGGGCGCACAGAAACTACCACTGTCTGGGGATGGAGCACAAAGCCTGGGCTGGCTAGGAGGCAGCTGCCACCCAGCAGACACCCCAGCTGGCAGGGAGCCCGAGGTAAGACTCACAGAACACGAAAACTGGGTGGTCTTAGAGACCACTGGTCCACTACAGACCTTTGACCCACCTTCTCGGCCTTCACCCCCACAAACGATGCTGCGTGACACCAGCCTTACCACCTAAACTCCACAGGCTGGCCTCAGCACCACCACTCCTGCCCTCCCTGTCTCAAGCTCCGGGCTACGGAACCCACTCTCACCAGGGATGCATGAAAACTTCTAGAGAGTTCTGGCTGCATTCCCTCCCAGCCTTTCCAATAACTGTCACCTCCACACCTAAAGCCTGAGCTCTGGGCTGGACCGAGCCTCCCTGTTGGCTGTCCTGCAGACAGGGCACCAGAGGTGGCCGCGACACCGTGCACCAGTCCCTGCAGGGGCACACGCAGGGATGCCCAGCACAGAGCCCTGAGCCCAAGCCCCGACCCCCAGCGTGGCCGGCAGCACAGTGCAGGGCTCGAATGGCAGCAGGGGAACCATCCCATTGGGAGCTCTGCATCTGGCGACATTCCTGGCCGAGTCCATGGGGCACCTGTGGGGCTGCTTCTGGCCTGCTTCCCAGTCTGCCCCCCTTCTCCCATGGTCCCTCCCGAGGCTCAGACAGCCAGATCAGGTCCTGGGAAAATACACACCATCTTGGGTTTATTTGGAGCTGGGCATTGCAGGTTCAGGCACAGTTTGTTCCTGGATAGGAAGAGTCGGGACCTCTCCGCTCTCCTGGCATTTCGGGCCTCTGCAGATCCCCTCCCCACGTCCCTGCACACGTCTCTTCCCCCCTCCCTGCTCCCTGAGTCTCTTATTCCTTCACCAGCCGGTAGATGTGGTGCTGAGCCCCGTGCTCGCTGGCTGACACCTCGAAGACATAGGCGACGCACAGCAGTGTCTCCTGCGTGTCTCTGTTGGTGACCACCTGCAGGGGACGAGAAAGATGAGAGTTAAAGCCCCAAACAGGGGCACAACATTGTCTCGACCCACTGATCCCTTCCTGCCACACACCTGCAGCACACCTGCCCCCCCACGCACCTGCAGGATGGTGAAGTTCTCTAGCACGCTGTTCATCATGTACTTCTCGGGCAGGTGCTTCAGCTTGTGGATGAAGTTGATCATGTACTCGCAGAGTGGGGACCGATGAATGCGGTAGGAGTAGTGGCCGTTCTCATAGCGGGCGTACTCTGTCTGCAGGACCCAGGGGGCAGCGGGGGCTTAGGATCTCTCTTGACCACTTCCTGCCCCGGCCCAGCTCTCTGGGGAGCTCCGTGACCCACTCACTGTCCACCTCCTCCGTCAGTGACGGGCAGACCAGGTCGAGGAGGAGGGAGCTCAAGGATATAAGCACAGTGGCACTAGGCAAGATGGGACAGAGCAGTGACTTAGTCCTGCCAGCACATGAACACACACTAATGGGCACGACAAGGGCACGGGAGCAGGGTACGTCTGAGCCACACTGCGGGGCTGCCCCGATGTTGATCTCCCGGTGCCAATACAACACTCTAGCTACACAGGACGCTGCTGGGTGAAGGTACACGGGGCAACAATGGCACAGCATGTGAAGCTGTAATTCTCTCAAAATAAACATTTAATTAAAAATAACTCAAGGGGCAGGCACCTGGGTGGCTCACTGGGTTGGGAGACTGTCTTCAGCTCAGGTCATGATCCCGGAGTCCCGGGATCAAGCCCCTCATCGGGCTCTCTGCTTGGCGGGAAGCCTGCTTCCCCCTCTCTCTCTGCCTGCCTCTCTGCCTGCTTGTGATCTGTCAAATGAATGGATAAAATCTCTTTAAAAAAAATTCGAAAAGCATTTTATAAACCACTATTGGTGCAGAGAGGGTTTGAGGCGCTGGTGTGTTTCCACGGTCCCCAGGTGACCACAGAGGTGGCGGGGGCTGAGAAGCCCGGGGCTGGGCGTGTTCTCTGCCCTGGTGCCAGCCTGGCATCGGGTTGGGTTGGACATGAGCTGGGTTACTGATAACTGGCGGGCGTGTGAGAGGAATAGCTCACGGACTCAGACAGACGTGGGCAAAGCGGTGGGGACAGGATGAAGGGCAGCCTGAGGCAGGGGTGGGCCTGCCTTAACAAACACACGGGGCGGGGGTGGGGGCTCCTACCTCCACTTTCTCTACCACCTGCTTGCCAAAAGAGCAGACCTTGGTGGAACAAGTGATTATCATGTTCTCCAGACTCTCGTACTGGCTGGAGACCCCGTAGAAGGAGCTGCCTTCATCCTCGATGTTGGTGTTGAGGTCTGCCTGGAAGAAGACACAGGGAAGACTCACAGTGGACTGGTGAGTCAACAGAGGCCCTGCTGGGAGTGGACCTAGGGAGAACTCTGGGGCCACCGTCCAGGTTCTAGGGCCAGCAAGACATCAGAAAGGCCTGAAAAGAACTGGGAGAGTAGGATCATGGAAAGCTTCCACCCTTCTCCACAGCCAGGCCTGGTGTAAAGTCAGGGTGTGTTACCTAAACAATGGAAAAAGAGAACACTGTCATCTGCGTTAGTCGTAGGCCTCCGCTACCCATTTAGGCACCAAAACATCCAGCAGTGGGGCCCCCAACTTTGTCTTTAGGACTTCAGGTTTTATGGTTTTATAGTCTAAGGCTTTGCTCTTGTTAAACTGCAAACATCTGAATCTATATCAGTCATTTCTATTTTAGTATGAATTTGTCAGATCCTTTCCAGAGTCAATTTTGATAGTGCAGTAAGCGTGGGAACAGAAAGCCAGAATGGGAGACTGGCGGAGGGGAGAGTAGGAGGGGGTGCTGGGACTCCTCTCTGTCTCATCCTCCAGTCCAGCTGGTCACTGGACCCTGCCAGTGCTCTTTTGGAAACGGCTCTGGGGGCCGGCCTCTCACCCATCTCTATGGCGGTACTGAGTCCAGCCACCCCTGACTTTTCACATCTCTGCTGCAGCCTCCAGACGAACCCCCCTCCACCGCTGGTCTTCCTCCCTTCGGTTCATTCTCTACGTTCTCTGAGAATTCTCTTCAAAAGATGAGTCTAACTGCACCCCTCCATGGTTAAAACCCTTTCACTGACCCTTTGCCATCAGAGAACCTGATGCTTGCTCCCCAGCCTGGCCTGGGAGCCCCTGGTCCCCTAGATCAGCTTCCTGCTGTTCCCCAACATACATCTTTTCTTCCTCTGCTGACAGCAGAGCCTAAAGTGCCTCCTGCTGGGGGTCGGGTTGGTTTGAAATTTTTCTCTTAGCCAACGTGGGGTAAGACTCCCAGTTGCACACACATCCCCTGCAAGCGGGATAGAGCAGGATCCTGGCTTCAGCGTGACCAGTGAGGCTCCCTGACCACAGGCCTGGCCCAGCCCCACAGAGCTGACAAGTGACGAGACGCAGGTCTTCAAGCTCCCACTCCCACGCTTACTGCATCCGGCAGAGTTACAGGGAGGGAGCGAGAGCTCAGACGAGACAAGTCCACGCCTTGGCAGCTCTCAGGCAGACCCTGTGCTTCTGAAGCCCTACACCAGTTCAGGGTCCCCATCCCCCAAGCTTGGGCTCCCCAGTGAATCATCCCATCTGAGCCAGGGCTTGCTAGCAGAGCAATTCAGAACTCAGAACAAACGCACAGATCTAAAACGGCTTTGTCTGAGGGTGCAGTCTCTCCTCCCACCCACACAAGCAGCCTGAGCACCGCCAGGCTGGACCCAGAGCGCGGCAGCCCCACGACGCAGAAGCTCTGGACGAGGCTGAAGAATCTGACACCAAGGCCTCCTCTGAGCAAAACTCAGGGGCTCCCCCGAACCGCGGAAGGTTCTGGCACCATTCAGAGCCGGGCACCAGGCAGTTCTGTTACCAGCCATTAGGGGATGCTCAGTCATTACGTTTTTCTCCTTTGGGGAAAGAAGTTTTCTGAGAGCAAGAACATTCTCTGGACTGCTGGGGACTGTTCAATGTCTTACAGCACAATGAAAATATTAGGTAGCCACAAGGGCCTGAGTTTTCTGTTGAGTTTACTGAGGAGGGCCTGTGTTTACTGTTGCGAAATGAAGACAATTGCCAAGTGAAAAAAATAAAAGGCAGGTTATGGAACACAATGAGGATATGTTAACTTTCATGATGAGAAAAAGAAAATAGGCTGTTTTCATGCTGAATAGAATGGCACAGGTTTAGTGCACTCTGCAATGGTTTTAATGAGGCCACTAGGAAGACAGGAGAACAAGGAATTCCAGCTACATTCAAGGCTCAGCTTCTGAAATAAATAGCAGCGTCTCGGCCCTGGGGTGGGGATGGAGTTGGGCAAGCAAGGGGTGCCCCTGAGTCCTGGCCGGGGGCGGGGGGGTGCAGTCCTCGCTGGGTTGGGAATTGAGGGCAGCTGGGACCAGCAAAGGCCTTCCAGTGAAGTACGTGGTGAACTGGGACCAAAACCCAGCTCTCCATCGCCTATTTTCCCCGCTAAGTCACATGCTCCTCCTCCTAGGAAACCAAGTTTGTCAGACTTCTTTAAAAAGGAACAGTTTGCTCAAAGTATGCTGCAGCCAGAAGCACGGGGCAGGAGCGTGAACAAGAGCTGGCAGGAAGGCCGGCTGCCTGGGAAGGGCAGGCACCCGAACACGGGAGGGTGGGTGCCGGCCAAGGGGCAAGGCCAGGGCACAGAATGATGGCACTTGGACCACAGCCACCGCCGGGGTCCTCTTGATGAACAACATGCTTGTGTAGCACCTACCAGGGCCCTGCTCTGCCCCCACTGCTTTCTCTTAAATCCACTCATTCCTTACATCCATGCTAAGGCCAGGAAATCAGTCAGGAACTCTATTTTTTTCTGTGATAATTACTGCGTAACTATTAAAGGAGAAATATTTGTTTGTATGCCACCGAAAAGAATGCTGTGCACCAGGGCTGGGCAGGACCGGCCCAATCCCTCCCAGGTTCTTCCCAGCGCACAACGGTCACAGCTGCCCAGCACCCCCGCACTGCCCCGGACATGCCATGCCCTTCACCACCAGAATCTGTTCAGATGGCCTCAGCCCCTTCCAGATGGTAAGCACCCTGCCAGCAAGGACTCCGCTCTCCCGGGGTGGGAGCGGGGGGCTCGGGCCAGGCCTGGGGCGAGGCCCTCTTCCCAACCCCGTCCCGCCCCCCCGCCGGCCCCCGCCACGGTTGCCGCCTGTGGCTGTTCAGCCTCTCACCGCTGGGTGGCGCCAAGTGAGATGAGCCGTGAGCGCCGCATCCCTGCCCCACCATAACCTTCGCCCAAGCACACGCAGGTCTTGGTCCTAGCCTCCCACTCACCTGGCCCTTCCATCCCTCAGTCACCTACATCTCCCGCCCCAGCCCAGCACAGCCAAGGGGAGTGGGGTCCAGAGAGGCTGAACGTTGTCTCTGCTGTCAAGGAATTCATAACTGGTGGGACAGCAAGGAGCACGAATGCGATGCTGTGAGTGGTACAGAGAGAGAAGGAGGTAGTGGGAAAGAGAGAAACCTCCTGCCGTGCATCCTGGGGCCGACCGCAGCCCAGAGCCAGCAGATGTGGGCGGTGACACAGACCAGCCCTGCCCCTCACCTCCTCTTGTCCTCACTGCCTTATCCTCCGGAGGGCTGCCCCACCACTCTCCAGCAGCCACACATCGCACACTTCCTGTCCACCCCTGCACCCCTTCACTCTACCCTGCTGGTTTTCTCTTTCTCAGCCGAAGAGGAAGGCTGCCCCCCCCACTCGCCCTCCTGCCCTCCGAGTGCCCCCACACTCTCCTCCCTTCACCCTATTCATAGCTGTGGTGTGGGTGGGCAGCCCAGGCGGGGCCTGGAACAGGTGTGGGGGATCGGGTGACAGACAGATGAGCCGAGACAGCCGCAGCCCAGGAGAGGGGGCCGGAGGGGCTCAGATTCATTGTCATGTGCTGGCATGTGCCTGGGAAAAATGTCAGGGCCCAAAGGGAGCAGCAGGCTGGGATGGGGGCCGGTCTGATGTACTCTCCTCCCTCCGAGGCCTCAGTTCACCTCTGCCCGGCATTTTTCAATTTGCAGACTGGTGTTAACAGCCCTCGGTGTCCCAGAGCCCCCTCTCCCCTGCCCTGAGGACAGAGGTGGCCCCAGCTGGTCCCACATGTTGTGGGGAAGGAAGAAGAGACTTCAGCTTTTCAGTCCCTGCTCCAGACCCTGCATGTCCCACCCAACAGAGCATAGTCTCACAACTCAACCCCTCCTGCACCCCACGCCAGCTCCAGCTGGAAATGATTTGTCCCCCCAGGCAGCAGCCTAGGAAATACCACCACGGCCCCATCAAAGGAACAGTAACTTCCAATGGAGATGGGCTAGGAGGCTGGGTTAGGGACATCAAAGTCCTCCTCCCACTCCAAGGCCCTGGTCAACTCCCCAGCGTCTAGAAGGGAAGGCTTCAGAGGAGGCAGCTTTGTTTCCTTTCTAATGGAGTGCCACCCCACCTCCCAGGGGAGGGAGTGGCCAGGCCAGGGGCAGGAGCAGAGGGTTCCAGATGGTTGTGAGAACCCCAGAGCTGACCAAAAGGCTCATGCTTAGCAAACAGGAGCATTTCCTTTTCCGCCATCGCAGAATTTGTACGTCCCTGGTGCCTCTGCCCACCCCATACAGGAGGGACCAGATGACTGCCCTGGAGCCCTAGCCGCTGGCAGACCCCCATCTCTGATTTCACCTGTCCTTTCCCTGACCAAGTGTCTGCTCTTCAGAGAGGCCTGGCTCTAGGGGTTCAAGCAAAGGGCAGGGCACCTTGGGGCCCTCAGACACACAGCCTCCTGCAGACCATCAAGAACAAAACTGCTGATGGTTCAGATGGAGAAACGGGCCCAGAGAAGTGGAGATACACTCGGGCCACCACTCTCGAGCTGCAGAGCAGAGACAAGAGCCTCTATATCCAGCCAGAGCCCACTGCTGCCCCCCTGCTCCCCCAGGACACACCAGGAGGGCCCCACTTATAGCCCACCACACTCCCCTGTATCTGTACACTAGTTATTGCCCAGGAACATGAGATCTGCTCCAGATCCTCCCACTTGGAATGTGAGCTCCTGGAAGATAAGGGCCATGTTGGGTCCACAAAGCAGGGGCCATGGGCACAGCCCACTGGCAGAGCACAGGGACCACACAGAGAATTGGCCTGACCAATTTCCTCAGCACCAACTGTCCCCTCCCTTCTTTCTCCCATCCATCCCTATCACCAATGATAAATGAAAGCATCAGAAGGAAGGAAGGGATGTGGGCCACAAGCAAGGCTGGAGAGAACATTCTAATTACTTTTCCCTACCTGCCCACTCTCACCAGCAGGC